AGTGGGGTAGGGAGGAGGCCTTGATCAAACCTACACTTTAGGAAAATTGCTTTGAAATCTAAGTGGAGGAGGCTTGGAGTGGGGAGCTTCTTGAGGCAGGGAGACCAGTTGGAATTGGAATAGTCAAGGCATGAGGTAATGAGTGTCTGTACCATGATGCCAGTGTAAAAGGATAGAAGAGAACATATACAAGAGACTTTGTAAAGGGAGAATTGGCAGTAATTGGCAGCAGATTGGATGTGGTAGGGGTAAGGGGAAAGGTTGAAAGTGAGGAGTCAAGGAAACATCTTTTGAGCCTGATTGATTGGGAGGCTGGTGGTGCCTTCAACAGTAATAGGGAGGTTAGAAAGAGGGGAAGGTTTGGTGGAGGTGGGGAGATAATGACTTCAGTTTTGGACATGGTGATTTTTAAGATGTCTACAGCACATCCAGTTTGAGATGTTCAAAGAGTTGTGAGACTGTATGTCAGAAGAGAGGCTGGGTCTGGATAAATAGATCTGAGAATCATCTGTGTAAGGATGATAATTGAATCCATGGGAGCTGTTGCAATCATCCACCAAACAGCATATTATAGAAGGAGAAGAGAAAAGGGCCCAGGCCTGAACCTCAGGGGATATCGCCATTAGTGGGTGTGGCCTGTATGAAAATCCAGAAAAAGACAGAGAAAGAACAGCCAGGAGCTTAACTAGGAGAGAAGAGCAATGTCATAAAAACCTAGAGAAAAAAGAATATTGAGGAGAAAAGGGTGATAGATGGTGTCAGAGACTTCAGAGAGTTTGAGAATAATGAGAATTGAGAAAAAGGTTATTACATTTGCCAGATTAGATTTGGTGGGAGAAAACAAACAAAAATATTAGTGTATCACTTAATTATAGGATTTAGAGCTGGAAGACCAGAGAGATCTTAAGGAGAAACAGTTTTATGTAGTGGAAAGAATATTGAACTTGGGGTTGGAAAAAGACTGTGTTCAAATCCCACCTCCTACACTACTACTTATGTGACCTTGTGCAAATCACTTAACTTCCTTGTCTTTTCAATTTCTTCATTTTTAAAATGTGAATAATTATATGTATGCTGCCACACTCACAGGACTGTGAGGCTAAAACTTGATATAAGTATAAAATGCATCAAAATGCATCAAAAAAACCCTTAAAGTACTAAATATCAGCAGTTATTATATACTTTATACCCCACTGCCCGTCATTTTATATTTATGGAAGCTATGACCCATAGAGACTAAATGGCTTATTTTCAGTTACACAAGTAGTAAGTCTGAGTCAGGATTTGACTCCTAATCTACTATTTTGCATGCAGTTGTTGATTTCTATGTTTACATAAATGCACTTTTTTCAGGTACCATCCTATGAAGCTCAGCTAGGATTAGAAACCCTTTTATAGTATAATGGGCTATTTATTACCTTCTAAACTAGGACTTCAGTGATCATCTGGGAGTGAGGGTCACATCTTTAATGCTATTTGCCACTGTAGAAAATAAACATTAACTGAAGGAAATAATCCAAAGTCTAGAAACTTTAAGCCTAATCATTGGTAGGAGTATAGTAAAATTTGAAGCCTACTTGAATAGGTTCATTTTCTTATCAATTCTGATGTAATTATCTTAACAAGTATGTTATACCACCCCTGTGGTATATCAGTATATAATTTCAAGATAAAAGAGAAATGGCCAGTGTGATACACTTTTTACGTATTTTTCAGAATATAAAGTAGTGTCAGTTGGCATATGCTTACATTATCAATATTTACATTGTAGATATCTAAAGATTAGCATCAAGCTATTTTCTATGAAGGTTTAGAAAGCTACAATCTAATCTTAGGCTATTATATCAAACATTATTATTTTAGTAATTATGTAGGCACTGATCATTGCAATTATAATTCCATATTGGTAAGTGATTATTGAGTAGATCAAGTTACTTATCTCTCAGTCCCACCTATAGCTCTTAACACAAGCCTTCCTAGTCCATGCAGGCACAGATAGTATCACATGTATTTTGTAGTGTTGCTACTAGGTAACTCCAAGTCTGAGCTACAGTAGTGTCCATTAAAAATATGTAGTTGACCTACCTCCATCCACATGCTTCTTTTTTGATAGAAAGGGAAGTCTTACTTCTGTTTTTCATTATCATCTGTTTGGCTTCTTGTAGTAGAGGTGAATGAAATACTGCTTCTTTCTTACTGTCCTTAAATGGAGTTTCTTTGATCTACTTCTTACTTTCTTATCCAGGAGCCAGGGTAAATGGGCCTGAGTCCTGTCTTCATGACTAGTAAAATTCTAGAATATATATATTTATTGTGTGCTAGGCCCTATGCTGAGTGTTTTATAATTTTATCTCATATAATCCTAACAATAACCCTTGAAGGTAGGTGCTTTTATTATCCCCATTTTTCAAATGAGGAAACTGAGGCAAACAGAGTTTAAGGGACTTGCCCAGGGTGATGCAGCCAGTTTCTGAGGTCAAATTTCACCTCAGGTTTTCCTGACTCCAGACCCAGTGTTCTTCTATTCACTGTACCACCTAGCTGCCCCTAAAGGAATAGTCAATGAACATCTAAAGATGGAAGAGATACCATAAAGAGCCAATATAGCTTCATTAAAAATAGGTCATGTCACACCAGATTTCTTTTTTTTAAAAATAAGCTTATTAGATGAGTAAGTGAATGGAGTACTGTAGACATAGTTCTTCTAGATGGAGAGATATAGGCTAGATGATATTATCGTTAGTTAGAGTTAGGAATAGATAAATAGCTGGACTCCAAAAAAGCCGTTAATGATGTGATGTTGGCGTTGAAGAGGAAGTCTCTCATGTACTGGCCCATGGATTTGTACTTTTCATTGTGCCATTTAACATTTTTATGTCTTGAGTGGCATGTTTTTATTTTCAGAGGAAATGATGGATAACAAACTGGATGATAGAATCAGGGTCTAAAAGGATCTTGATAGGAGTAAGGTCAAATCTAATAAGATAAAATTTAATTGAATATCTATAAAGTCTTGCATTAAAAAAATTAAACACTTCGCAAATACAGGATGAGGAAATACATGGCTAGACAGCATTTGAGGAAGAATTGCAAATTCAATACGAATCAGCAGTGATATGGCAGCCACAAAAGCCGATGCAAGTTTTCATTAAGTAGAGAATAGTGTTCAGTAATAGTCCTACTGTTCTCTGCCTTGTATAGCCTCTGGCTAGAGTATTATATTTAGTCTTGAGGGCTACATTTTGAGAACGATATTGATAAACTAGAGAGCATCCAGTGAGGGAGACAGCCATAGTGGTAAAAGGTCCTTGAGATCATGCTATATGAGGGTCGGTTGAAGGAAGTGGTGATATTTAGCCTAGATAAAGAAAACAATAGGGTGGAGGGGCAGAATGAGAAGATAGCTATTTTAAAGTATTTAGATGATTGTCATATGGAAGAAGAATAAGACTTGCTCTTCTTGGTACCAGAAACAGTACTAGGCACATATGCTAGAAGTTGAAAAGAAGCAAATTTAGGATTTATGTAAGGAAAAACTTCCTACCAACTAGAATTATTGGAAAGTGGAATAGAATAGCTCAGTAGATAGTGGGTTCTGTTCATAAGAGGTCTTCAAACAAAGATGTTAACACATATAGAGTAGAGAGGATTCTTGTTCAAATACATTTTGGTCTTTGAGGGCCCTTCCAACTCTGAGATTCTGTGATTATGATTTGGTGACCACGTTTTTATATTTCTTTTCTGATTTGTCGTGAGTTGTAATATCACTGGGTTTCAAATTACTTGAACTTAAATAATGTGAATTATTATGTTTGTAGATCAATCTGTTAAAGTCTTTACAACAGAATATTTTATGGCATTTCCTTGTGTGAATTAGATATTCTTCCACTAACGACTGACTATTCCTCATCATACATTAGAGATGACTCTAAAATTTCATTCATTCAATCATTCATTCATTCATTCGTTCATTCATTCACTTACTTATCTGTTTATTTATTTGCTTGCTTGTGTATCTATCTATTTATTTTTTAAATTTATTTATTAGGATAGGCAGTGGGGTTAAGTGACTTGCCCAGGGTCACACAGCTAGTAAGTGTTATATGTCTGAGGCTGGATTTGAACTCAGGTCCTCCTGAATCCAATGCTAGAGCTCTATCCACTGCATCATCTAGCTGCCCCTTGTTCCACTGCACCACCTAGCTGCCCCTTAGAATTTTAAAGGCTATGACATTAGAGCATAAAATCTGTCTGGAAGCTTCTGTAATCCAGCCTAGCTAACTGTGGAGAGCCTTATCAACAGAACATTGGTCTCCTGGTGATATTGATGATGATGATGATGATGATTTTTTTGGTGATAGCAATTCACAAAAAAATTTAATATTTTATTTAAAAAATAAAAATTTAGCCATAGCTAAATTGCTGTATGCTTTCTTGGAGGGAGTGCCTAGACAAGTGACATCACAAATCTTTTCAAGTATTAAGAATTAAAGAATGCACTTAGTAACCCTTGTTACTAATAGGTCCAGCGTGAGAATGAGAATGAAACGTAGGATCGTACATTTAGAGATAGAGGGAAACTGACTTGTCATCTCATCTAATGTCCTTGTTTTATAAATAAAGAAACTGAGGCTCAGGAAGATTGATTTGTCAAAGTCATGTGTGGGTAAGTGGCCAAGATAGGATTCCACAGCCATGTTCACTTATTGTAGATCCAGTGATCATTCTACCACACTGTACTGGATAACTCTCAGCTTTTGGTTTTGGATTTATATTTTTGGCACAGTAATATTGGAAAAAATCACAATTTTTGTCTGCCACATAGTATAATTTGAGAAGATTTTCAAACCAATTTCAATTTTTTTGTATGTTAACATGGTAGAGCCTAATGCATAAAATAAAATGTTGCTTTAAAATAGTCAGTAAAAGTATTAGTGCTACTTTCTGTGATTCTTTAGATTACTCTTCTGAAGTGTTTTTCCCTCTCCCATTCTTTTCAGGATCTCTTTGTAGTTAGACATGAATTGGCCATAATGAGACTAGCTGCTTTCATGGGAATAACTATGTTAGTTGGAATAACTGGACTCTTTTATACACAACTCATTGGCATCATCACTGTAAGTATGATGAAGTTTTTTTTTTTGACATATGTTTTTCCAAGTAAAATAACTTTGAGAACATTAATAAATGAAAAGCTTTATGTAATTTACATTTTAAAAATTGACTGAGTTTTCTTTATTAAATATAGATTTGATGGATTACATTCTTAACTATAGAGTTACCTGAAAAAACAAATTGGTGATAAAACGTCTTAGTAAATAATAAAAGATTATTGATTCAACTGATTTGATAACTTATTTGATTATTTGTCTTCATTGATAATTTATTTCAGTTCAGCTTGAACAATTTAAGGTATAAATAGTGGTGGATTGTTGAATTCAGAGTTGTTATCACTCTTATACTTTGTAAGAGTATATTTTCCTTTGTGATTTTTTTCAAGATAGCATGTTTTTATTTCAGCTTACTTTTTTTCCATATAACATGTTTTTCAAAATGCTGTCTCTTTTCATTTATTCTCCAGTAATTTTAAAGGTCCTATATGAACAATATGCTAGATACTAGAGGTGATCAGAGATGATTAAGAGCTCTCTTGGCCCTCATGGAGCTTATAGTAGGGAAGATAAAATGCATGAGCAAATACATAATGGCGTACAATAACTGTACCACAGATTAGAAATAATAAAAGGGTGGAACAGATACAAAACCTCTCACCTGCGCACTTCAGTTCTGGATCACGATCACCTATTTTGTCCCAGAGACATCTCAAACTTAAAATCTTTTCCCTCTAAACTCTCTCCAGACTTCCCTGTTTCCATCAAAGGTATCATCACCATCCTTCAGTCTCCTAGGTTAGTGACCTTGGCATTGCCCTCCTCATTCTCATTCATTCCATGTATCCACTCACTTGCCATTTCTGTGTCTACCTCATTCTTGCTTCCAATCTGTTCTTTCTAGTCACACAGGTACCACCTTAGTTATCATCTTATCACCTCACCTAGATTATTGAAACATCTTCCTTTTTTTTTTTTAAGGTGAGGCAATTGGGGTTATGTGACTTGCCCAGAGTCACACAGCTAGTGAGTATTATGTATCTGAGTCCGCATTTGAACTCAGGTCCTCTTGGCTCAAGGCCAGTGCTCTATCCACTGCGCCACCTAGCTGCCCCTTGAAACATCTTTCTAATTGATCTCCCTGTTGCAAGTCTCTTACCATTCCAGTCCATCTTACAGACTTCTGTCAAAATGTCTTCCTTCAGCGTAGATCTGACCACATGACTCCTGCCTTAAGGAACTTCCTATTGATTCTAAGATAAAATATAAACTCTTTAGTTTTTAATTCCCTTCACAACCTGACCCCAACCTATCTTTCTAGCCTCTTTGGATTTGCTTTCCTGTATTCTGTGATGCCACCAAAATAGAATTCTTTTTGTTTCTCACACATGATAGCCCTACATGCCTTTGCAGTGACCATCCCACATTCTTGGAATACACTCCCTTCTTTCCCTCTCCTCCTTATAGATTCCCTCTATGACTTTAAGAAGCAGCACAGGCACCATATTCTTCATGAAGCCCTCTCCTAATTGCTAGACCTGAAAAGTAGAAATAAGTGGACATGATGGAACTTCGCCAGGATTGAGAAGTCCCTAGGTCTTATGGCAGGAACCTCTGAGTAGCACTATGTAACTATTAGATATAATTAGTGGAGAGAAGAAGGTGAGATGTGTTGTAGATAGAAGAAATTGAATGAGCTAGTACCCTGTTATTTGATTTAGCAAGTCAAATGATACTTCAGCAGACAGACTTGAATAAAAATACTAAATTCTGGAGTAAGGAAATGAAAAAAGGTTTGAAGGGAAATCTAAATATATGTTGGAAATAAGTTGAATGAACTATGATAACAGTAATCATTTTGTGTCTCAGCCTCTAGATGTTTTACATAGAAAGACCAATCTTAAAAGATTAGTAATTATCATTCACAGCACAAGAGTTTAAAATTCAAATTCCTACATGATTTATAGTGTATTTATTTTTAAATAATAGAGATAGTGTGAAATAGTGGATAGAGTCTGAAGCTAGGTGCCAAGGACATCCAGATTTAGATCCCACTTCTGACAGTTACTGTGTGACCTCAGACAAGGCATTTAACTACTCTGTGTTTCAGACAGTTTCCTAGAACTTTTCTCCTTAATCTTCAAGAATAGAATTTCCACACTAGGAATTCTCAGACAAAAATAAAAAATCCTTCAGGTATTCTTAAGTACTAAATTACCTCAAATGCTTTAGTGCCAAACAGTAATAAAAAGTGTTCACTTGAGAATTAAGAGATGTGGTTTCAAGATCCAGCTTTTGATACTAGCTGTGTGACTATGTGCAAGTCATTTAATCTATGTTTCAGTTTACTGAACATTAAAATGTGAATAATGATACTTGCATGACCCATATGGTGTCACATCACTTAACCAAATAAATAAATAAAGGAGTGAAGGAATCAATAAATAAAAGCCCCTTTTTAAAGTCAATTTCTTACTTTATGTGAATTTTTTTTGTAAATAACCACTTGGTATAAGTCAGAAATTCTCTCTTGGTATAAAAGCAGGAAAATACTATCTTCCTATGGCTAGTGGAAGGTAAAAGGGAAATCATTTGGGCAGTGATCCTTTGATGTCATGATATGACCTAGCAAAAACAGATTATCTGTGACCCAGACTAAATAATTAAAAATTGCTCAAACTTTAAAATAACAGATTTACTAATCTCCTTTTCAAAGTTAAAAAAGGTCTGTCTCCACATAATGCTGCCAGATGTTTCATTTTATCTGCATAGACTAATCTGAACCCCAGTTTTAAAGGATTACCTCTGATTATTTTAATGTTTAAATACTAAATAAGATTCAGGTTTCATACATTCTTATTAAAGCTTAGTAATTTTTTTTACACATTTTCAAAGTAGTCTGAAAATCACAGTATTATGTTCTACAAACATATTCCTTGTCTTGTTTAGTGGCAATTATTTCTGCTTTGCTATTCTACTTACTTTTGAATTTGTCTAGAGTTAGAATCATAGATCTAAAGCTATAGCAATTTGCTTCTTCTGTTTAGCTGTTATTTACTAGTTGTGATGTTTGATGGCTGTTTATTACCATAAGTGGAACCTGATGGTGGTGTTCACAAAGTAATTAACACTGTCAAGCTTTTTTTTTTCTAAATTAAATCCCAATCTGCATAGTGTACAGTAATAATGTTAATACTATTGAATAACAATCCTGAAAATGTAGAATGGATTTAGTGGTTGTTTTCTCAGTTACTGAGGTAGGAAAGGAACAGTGTAAAAACTTAGGGGGTTTGGGAGTTAGTGGTAGAACAGCCTGATTATGATCTATATGACATTGAATTCTTGTGTAGCAGGATTCTGCTTCTTAAGCTTTCTTCTTTGTAGAAGCGTTTAGTTTTCAGTACAAAGTGAAGTGTATGTTGGAATGTCTTTTTGTTACTTAGTACTTTTTGCAGTGATTAAAAAACAGAAAAGGTGTTTAGTGTTCACTTTGTCAAAACCTAAATTTTCAAAGATAGATAAATTTTTGACATTTTAATTTCGTGTCACTTGGACAGGCTCTCTTTTGGATTATTAAAGATGGTCTTATTTCTTCTCTCAGTTCAACTGAGAATTGTCAGTTTCTCTTCACTGAAGTTGGTACCTAAAGAGCTCAGTAAATATTTTCTTAAGGAGATATTAAAGATATCATCTATATACAAATGACTTAACATTGGCTTGAACTTTTCATAAGTGGGCTACTTGGCTTTTCATACACATACACACACATGTACACAAGTGTGTAATGTAAACATTATTAATCCTCATAATTAGTTACCTACCTATACCACAGGATTAGGGTGGTAAATTATTAACATTCATTTGGTATAATCTCTGTAAATTATGTTGGGCATGTTGAAGCCCATATTAGTTTTACAAATATGAAAAGCATGTTTAATTATGTTGAATACAGTTTACCTGTACTATTGTGAAGTATGTTCTGCACAGTTCTTTCATTTAAAACCTTATAAATATTTTAGAACTAGTCTGTAATGATTTTTTATGAATTATAGTTTTCTTCTACAAAAAGAAAAGAAATTTCATGACCCTAGAAAACCCAGGAAAATAGATGAGGCTGTGAGTTTTAATTTTTTTGTGATATAGCAAAGATCAGAATTTTCTATGTCTTGCTTTTACTCTGTTTAAATTTAGAATGCCATATAAAGTAATATGCATAATAGTTCAAGGATTTTCACTTAAATTTTATGTTACCTTGCCAGTGAAAAATGTAACTGTAAATACTTGCATTTTCAAGTATTTCTATTATATACATGCATTTATAGATGTATGAAACTTTATCACATTCTTATGCTAGTACCAAAAATCATTAAAGGTTGAAGTGTTTTTAATCTGTATTAAAATATTTCTATGTAAAACTGTATTTAGAATGCCTTTGTTTGCTCAATGTGATAAGAAAATATTTTTCTGATTAAATGATAGCTAGAATATAGCAGTTTACAATTTGCAAAACACTTTACACATGCTATCTCATTTGATTCTCATGACAACCCTGTGAAGCATGTGCTGTTATCCCCATTTTACAGATGAACAAACTGAGGCTTAGAGCATCACACAGTAAGTGTCTGAGGTGAAGTTTGAACTCAGGTCTTCCTCGCTCTAAGTCCACTGCTCTATTCGCTACACCATTTAGCTGCCTGTTTAGAAAAAACTAGAATAATCATTGATTTCATCTTATTTTTTAAGATTTCTTGCAATAAGTTTTAAAAAAACACTTGATTATCACATGGCTTAATTGGATAGAAGCTTTTCTGTAAGAAAGCAAAAAAAGTTTTCCTTTTTTCTTATAATTTTTTCAAATACTGTTTTTTAATATGAATCTTAAATGCCTATATGTAAATTTAATTCAGAAATTGAAGAGTGGAATGAATTTTATTCTTGTCTGTCATTACAAGCCCATTTTTAGAAAGGTTCACATATTTCCATTCTGTGATACAGAGGAAAGAGTG